TCTCAACGGAAAAGGCCTATAATAAGCGTTTCGAAAAACATTGTATGGCATCAGAAGGACAGCAAACCAAAATGCCTGATAAAGGTAGTTATTTTGAATTTGAAAAACATAACACTAAATTACCGTGTCCTTTTGTAATCTATGGAGATGTTGAATGTCTAACCACAAACTCCAACAATGGTATAAAAGGCACATATCAGGAACATAAACCGTGCGGTTATATGTTGAATATAGTAATCAGGATTGATAATACATGCCAACCATACTTATACAGAGGTGAGGATTGTATGAAAAAAAATGTAGAACAACTGACACTCATTAAGAAAGGCATATTTGAAAAGATGAATGTTAATAAACCAATGGAAATTACATACGAACAAGAATTAGAGTTTGGAAAAGCAACTCACTGCTCAATATGTAATAAGAAATTCCAACCTGATGATGAGAAAGTCCGCGACCACTGCCACTTCGCAGGTAAATACAGAGGCGCAGCGCATGTAAAATGTAATTTAGATTATTCATTTAAGTCTTTTAAAATCCCAATATTTTTTCATAACCTAAAAAACTATGATGCTCACTTAGTCATTGCTAAAGCAAATGAATTGAACATAGAATTTAATGAAAACAAAAGGATAGATGTAATAGCGCAAAACAGCGAAACGTTTATAACCTTTTCATTTGGTGCTTGTCATTTTAAGGACAGTTTTGCTTTTCTATCAGCATCACTGGACAAATTAGTCGGACTAAATATGAAGGAAAAAAATACTTCAGATACAAAAACAAATCCATATATCAAGTCTAAAACTGATTTAAGTTTACTAACTGATAAAGGAATATACCCATACGACTAAATGAATTCCTTTGATAAATTTGATGAAGAACAACTACCAAGTAAGGAACACTTCTATAGTCAGTTGTATGAAGAACATATCACTGATAGAGATTATGATAGGGCAAATGTTGTATGGAAACACTTTAATATCAAAGACCTTGGTGAATACCATGATTTGTATTTGATGACCGATGTTTATTTGCTGACTGATGTTTTTGAAAACTTCAGGGATATGTGCTTAAACTATTATGGTTTAGACCCAGCATATTATATAACTTTGCCTAATTATTCTTGGAATGCCTTTTTATCACTAACAGGAGTTAGACTTCAACAAATCCACATCAAAGAAATGTATGAGATGATTGAAAACGGACTGAGAGGAGGGATGACACAATGCTCATACAAAAAAGTAGAAGCAACCAACAAATATATGAATGAAGAATTTGATAAATCTAAACCATCAAGTTATATAAGTTGGATGCTAAGAACTTGTATGGTTTAGCAATGTGTAATAAATTGCCTTATGATAATTTCAACTGGCACTACAACAAACTTGATGACAAGAAAATATTGAATTACACCGATGATGATGAAATAGGTTATATTATGGAAGTTGATTTATAATATCCAAAATAAATTCACGACTTACACAAGGACTACCCATTAGCACCTGAAATTATGAATATTAATGAGAATATGCTATCTCAAGTTCAAAAGGATATTCATAAACACTATTATGGAAAAGAAGCAACTGACGAGAAAACAGACAAATTAGTATTAAATGTTATGGATGAAAAGAAATATGTATTACACATATCCGCCTTGAAATTCTATCTACAACACGGTTTGAAACTAAAGAAACTCCATAGAGCAATAAGTTTCAAACAAGCACACTTCTTAAAACCTTTCATTGAATTCAACACTGAGAAGAGAAAACAAGCAAAGAATGATTTTGAAAAGGACTTGTTTAAATTAATGAATAATTCTGTTTATGGTAAAGCTATGGAACATATTAGAAAGCACGGTGATTTTGAGTTGGTTAATACTGCTGAACGCTTCCAAAAACTGGTAAATAAACCAATATACAAACACCGACACATTATAAATGATGAACTTGTAATAGTTGAAAAGGATAAACAAACAATAGAGTCAAACAAACCTATCTATATGGGTATGTCTATTTTAGACTCTTCTAACATTCACATGTATTCGTTTTACTATGATGGCCTAACAAAGAACTAACAAAAAACCAACTACCCAAAACACGCCGTGCCCCAGGGCCGGCGGATTGCGCTTCTGGTTAGTGATACTTTTGCTCGTCCAAGGGTGTAAGCATCTTTTGCTTTGTTTAAGGCATAACTCCTATACTCGTTTGTATTTCTGATTGATTTAAGTTTTTTATTAAAACATTTGATATTTCTTTTGCTTTATTGTATCTAAATTTCCTACCATCTCTGATTTTTTGCTTTAATTCTTTTCTTCCTCTCTTAGGTATTTCTGCTACACCATTATTTAATAGATAATCTATAACTGTATTCATCATATAATACTCTATATATTTTATTAAGTCATTTAATCTTTAAGTAGTTTTTATCTGAATTATATGTTTTGTTCTTAGAATTTGTCTTTATTATAGTCTATTGTTTTTTTTTTTTTTTTTAGTGTTTTAGGTTGGTTATGTGAAAAATCTATTAAAAGAAAAGATGGTTATATGATGAGAAATGATGGAAGAGCAATATTGTAAGAAATGTAAAAATACTAAAAGCATCAATTAATTTTATGAAGGTAATATATGTTGTAAGAAATGTAAAGACTACAACAACAATTACCATTACAATAACAAAGATAGATACAATGAAGCGCAAAGAAAACGATATGAAGAAGATGAAGAATATAGAAAAAAAGAAACTGGAACAAAAACACACCATTACCTGTCCTGTTTGTAATTGTTCAATAAGGCAACACTATATATTTCTCAAGACATATTAAAACAAATAAGCATCAAAGGAATTTAAATAATGCTCTGCTGTGATGATTTTGTGAAAATGAATGAGGTGATGATATGGTTTGCTGTGATGATTTTGTGAAAAATGAATGAAGTAATGATATGGTTGGTAGTGATGATTTTGATATGGTTGATGGTAAAATGAAACAATCAACCATATTAAAAATCTGTTATTTCATTTTAGTATCAACCATATTAGTCTGTTTCATGTTATTTTCAAAAACTTCCTTGAATTGTTGTTTTTATCATTTTTTCCCCCCCCCCCCCCCGTGTTTATTCTTTTTTAATAAATTTTTTTTCCCCCCCCCCCCGCCCCTCCACTCCCCTCCACTCCCCTCCCCGTCCCCTCCCCTCGCCAGCACTACCAGCATTCTGGACACACCATCACACCATAAGGTGAAGTCATGCGCTTAGCAGTCACAGCAGTACGACGCTGGCCATGAGGTTGCGCAATACAGCACGAACCCTGCACAATGAGGTTGCGCAATGCGGCTTCGATGCTGCGCGTGCGTGCCCGGCAGCCTGACATAGCGCATACTGCGTTCACAGACCATATTGCTCGACACCAACGAGCATCGATGCAACACAGCCTCTCTGCAACGCCCTGTGGAGAAACCTCTCGCTTCGCGGAGCCTCGCGTGGCCACATCTTACCGCATCGTGGAGCACCACTACACAGCTATTTACGCACCCTTCCCATCAGCCACCCACCATAGCGTGACATCCATCCCTGGCAGTACCGGCGGCTTCGACGCAACGCGTGCAGGCCTGTAATCCTGACACAGTGCGTGTAGCTGTGGGAAGATAGCTGGTTAACATGCGAGCGTTTACGCATTGCGACTTTTACGCGCGCCACACACCTTTATCGACGCAACGCAGCCTCTCTGCAGAGCCGGGTGGCGCAATCTGATCGCAACGGTGTTCCTCTTGAGCCTTCTTGTGCTCTTTGGCTTTGTTGGTTCCATCCATGACCAGACAAGGTCCGGACAGCTACCCGGTCCGTCTCTACCTTTCGTGTTTCCCCGCTCAAGTTGAGCTCTGGAAATCGTCAAGTGCAACAAGATGGCAACACTGCAACACTGTGCTGCTGTGCTGAGGTCAGGAGACGGCCCCTTTGAAAGTGCTTCGGCTGGAATGATTCGCGATGCTTTCAGATGTGTAGTAGATGTATCTAGCTACCCACGGTGGGGAGGCCAGCTTAGATACCTTGAAGTGAAGGTTTTCGCTGACAAACCGCGAGGTTTCTTGTCTAGGGTGTTTCTTGATCCACTTTGGGCATGGTTGGAGATGCGGATGCCCAACGTAGATAGACCGGTTCCGGGAAGTTTGGAGCTGTCTTGCGGGCAAAAGCCGTGGATCCAGATCTCTGGCCAGATGCTGAATTCCGAACGAGGTGATTAAGCCAAGGAATGGTCCAAAGAACGGCACTGGTGTCCCCACTTCTTCGCATCTCTTCTGTTTTTTTGATGTCAAGGGTTTTTTCATCCACCCCGGGGCGACCGACTGCCAGGCCATGCGGCATTTGGAATACACCGCGGGCAAATCGGTCCGCTTTGAGATCAACTGCCGCAACCAGGCGCGGCGTTAACATGATGTGAGGCAGGGGACATAACGATGGAACGATGGAAGAGACGAATATGGTGAAGTTTTTATGAAGAACTATCCAAAGGAGGCTCCATGAGAGAACTATGGAGATGATCTTCTCATGCTTTGGTGAACCGTGGAGATTCCTCAAAACAAAATCCATCTAAGCGTAGCGCGTTTGGCGCCTCAACGCCAAGTAACAAGCTCATTTTTCACGCCGCTTCAGCCGTTGCAACAGGCCGCTCGAACGGAATACCTCTACTTCGAGACTCCGTCACCTGGTTCTTCAGAGATGGGTTTGGGGTCGGCAACACTGGTGCTGGTTGGGCTCGCCGACCAAAGGTGCTTGGTCCAGCAGCTGCTGAGGTCGCTGGTCTTTGTCATCACGTCCAGCCATGCTGCGGTCGACTTCCGGGAAACGCCCGAGTCCGGACACCTGGGCCGGTCGCTTTGGGAGCGTGTGGAAGCTGAGAGGGGCGAGATTGTTGACTGACCGGTGACCGGTGACCGGTGAACTGTAGCTCTGGAGAGGGATCCATTTCCATGCAGAAAACCCTTCGAGCGAAAATGATCCCAGGCTGGCCTTCAAGTACATGCATTTGGACCTGGTCTCAGAGTGCGCGGTTTGGGGTCTGCTTGGGCCTCTTGAGAGGTTGGAGAAAATGATTGGTGCCGGAGGTTGGCAGTCGTTGGTCAGGCCGGTGCGCACGGTCTGCATGTCAGGTGGAGATCAAGGATATTCAAAGACGGTCAAAGAGAACGGAAGTAAGGTGTGCTTGGAACTAGAAAATCTTGAGTCTCTGAGTCTGCATGACCTGCATAACTTTCGGGCTCCAGGCCATTTAGCTTCTGACAACTTGATTTTCATTTTTGCGAGCCAGCTACTGCTTCACATCAGCACTGGTTTGTGATGCCATGTGATGCCCAAGCGTGGGAAGTCTGCTGCAAAAGGTGCGAAATCGAAGCAGGCTACAGCGTCCGAGGTCGAGGTCACCATCGAATCTTCGGAGCTTGATGCCGTTGTCGGAGAAGGGCTCCACGGTACTGAGGCGCCCCTTGACGTGGGCTCTGATGCGGAAAATGAGTTGAACAGCTGTGAGGATGTTGGGGCAACTTCAGGAGAGCCCAACGCATCTTGGCACTCCGAAGACAAAGCTGATGGAAGTGATGGGACTCACCAAGCCGCTGCTCCAGCTGAAGTTGAAGTGGAGGCTGAGGGCTCAGCTTGGAACCGAGCACGTAGAGAATCCGTCTATACTGACAAGCGAGGCCACCTGCAGAGTACTTCCTGGTGCCAAGAGCATTACGTGAGACTGCCTCGGCCCCGACACCGGACTCCTGTTTTTGTTGAACTTGAAGATGTCCAGCAATTCTTCCGATCCATTGTTTTTGCTAATGTTTCCTTAAGTCGAAACATACTTTATATTCTATATTTTGAACATGCGTTCTGTTGCCAGCCATGGGCCTTTTGAAGGCATGTTCTTTTCTTTTTTCCCAACAGCAAAGGGTAGAGCAGGTTCCGGAGCAGGAGAATCTGGAGCACAGGCTGGAGCAGGTTCATGGGGCTTCAGAGCAAGGTTCCGCAGCAGGTTCCGGAGCAGGTTTTGAAGCGGGGTCCGGAGCAGGGGCGCAAGTTCCGGAGGAGGTTCCTGAATAGGTGGCGGAGCACTGGGCATGGCTCCGGAGGAAGTTCGCTAACTTGTAAGAATGTGGTCATGCTGACATGCTCGCACATTGTCATACTCACATGCTGAGGTGTTGTCACGCAGGTATCTTTCATGATGGCATGTTGTATATCCTGCTTTCGTGGGGGCATGTAGACATGCTAACATGTTCTATTTGCCGGCTTTCATGCCGCTGTCGCGCTGCGATGTTGTCATGCCGGCACACTGAGGCGTGTCACGCTAGCATGTCACATCGTGTAGACTATTGACGTCAGGTCATGCTGCCGTGCTCACATGCTCACAGGCCCCAGAGAGGCACACATATATTGCGCGGTGATGCTTGTGTGGCACATTGAAAAGGGCCACGTGTTTCAAAGCAGCGTTGTTTGGCAATGAGACGGCGCGAATTGATGCCCGAGAGTTTTGCAATCAATGTTTCACGAAGAGCGGGTCAAACCTTGGTACCTCTGAAGAGGAGTTCCCTTCTACAGCCAAAGGTCTATTTGGTCTTGAGACATCAGCTCCCAGAAAAAGAAAATTATTGATGTCTTGTTTGAAGAAAGGACCTTGGAAGAAGGCTCTTCTCACTTTGCGGTCAACCCTGGAGGACTCCCTCGATCTTCAACTTGTATGGTTTCATGGATCTTCCTGCAGTGCAATCGTGCGAGATCTTTTTCACCCGGGCCATGTGTGTTTATGATGAATTTTCGGATGTTCTTGTGGCACTTTCGATTGACAGCCGGCGGGATCCATGGTGGCTAGCCATTTGCCTTTTCCTGCTGATCATTCCCATTATGTTGAAATTGCTGCTGGTGCACCAAGCTCTACGGCGAAAGATGGGCTGGGGCCACTTCCGCTTGGTTTTGTTCGGTCCTTTCATGCTCACACTAATCGATGTGTATTTGTTGGTCTGCTATCCGTGGGTTAGCCCCACAGATCCAGACTTGTTTGGCACTTTGGAGCGTCTATCACCATTGGTCGAGACCTTTGTAGAAGGATTTGGGCAGTCTGCTTTCCAATTGTACATGTATGCTCGAATCACCAGCTTACCTGCAGGTTTAGGATATGAGACTGCGGGATTTGAGGCTGTGATATTGTCCTCTTGTCTCCCATCGATCTTCAACATATGCTACAAAATTTTTCAACTGTCGGGCGACGCAAAAAACGTAGAACTTGGCTTGTGCTCCTACTTGCAAGAGCTAGTTGCTGGGCCACTTGGTTACTCAGCACCCTTTGTGACATTGCTTGGGAAGCGGCACGCTGTGGGCTACGACACCATGGGCCCGCTGAACGCACTTCAGCTCAGACAGATTGGTCGATGCATCGGGCCCAACAACACCACACTGGAGGAGCTGACCTTCGATGACTTGAATGCCGTCGACCCTGAGGTTTTGGCTGAGCCCCTAGCCAAGAATGTCACCCTCAGGTTTGTCGATTTTGGCCTCAGCAAGTGTGATATCATGGTGATGTGCAAGGTTTTTGAGAGCACTGTGAATACAGAGCAGCTGACCATTGGCTTGGTGGGCCAAGTTTGGCCGCAGGTGGTCAGAGCGAAGGTTTGCCAGGAAGTGAAACCGCTGGTGCAAACCGTGGAGGATCAGTTTAACAACCGACCAGTTCGCGAGGTTGATCTTGCTGCATCAGATTGTCTCTTCGATTTGAGCCGCCATGCTGAAACCTTAGGCGCCGAGCTTCTCCTGCCACGCGTGCTGCCTGGCCTGGTTCTATGGCTCGATGCCAGCTGCGAAGGCACCCTGCTGCGGAACAACTCGGATGGAGGGCTGCTAGCGTGGCGCAGCAAATTTCGAGGGCCAGGGCTGGAGACTCACTACCTTTTATCTGAATCCAAGAGTCCGACGGTCGAGTTTCACGGTGGCAAGCCCTCAGTGCAATTCAGCAAGTTTCGGTCAATGGAGATGAAGTACCCGTTGGAGAAGATTGGAACGATCATCTCGGTGCATGCGTTCGAGAAGATCACAGACGCACGCCACACAAAGCAATTTTACCTTTTCACGGGGCAAGAGCAAGGCCCTTTCCACGGCGATGAGTGGTCGGAAGGAGCTCTGATTTCTGGGCATGGATCATGGGTTCACCCGTCTCCCAAATCTGGCATGTACCGGCTGAATGGGGGTGCGTGGGAGGAAGTTGGCAAAAGACGACAGAATCCTTATTGGACAGAGATGCAAGTGGCCAGTTTCAAGTGCGGGGAATCTTTCAAGCTACGCCCTGGATGGGCCAATCGCATTGGAATGGACCGGAAGGACATTCATCAATTCAAGGGCTGCATCTCTGAAGTTCTCGTTTTTGATGACATTCTTGCAGATGCGGACATCGAACATGTGGAGGACTATTTACTCAAGAAATGGCTTCCGGAGGTTGAGAGGCCGGCGCGTGTGGCCGGAGATATTCCAGCAGGTCCAGCCAAAAGTCGGGGTCAAAGGCTCCTTGCTGCCGCATTCCAGACCACGCACCGCTTCCTTCGGTCAAGAGACACAGTGATAGACACAGAGTGACGATGCAGAAGGCTATTGACGATGCGAATCCCAGTGATTGTGCGGCCAAAAGCTTGATGTGGTCCTTCCTTCGAGGTTTTCTCTTAATCAAAGTGTTTTTCTCTTAATCAGTGGAGGTGGAGAGTGGCCTCTCCCTGATTTCTTTTCGGATTGAGACGTTCGGCAGTCCTTGAGTGGGAAGGTCCGGAAGCAGAAACAGCGTCCTTTCTTACGGCAGATTTCCAGCGGAGTGCTGGAAATCTGGCACCTCCCAGGATTTCATCGTGATGGAGGCGCTTCGTCCCCAAACCTTTTCAGGTCGCTTGGCATGCAGAGGTGGGGATCCGGAGTTTGGGGGTTTCCGGGGGAGTACCAAGTAGACTGGCGCTGCGAAGGCACCCGAGACACATCCAGCTGTTTTCTTTCCAGTTGTTGCGTTGTCTTATCGACCAGTTGTCGACCGGGAGATCCTCGGAATGTTTCCGACTTTTGTGGCACGGGAAATGACCAAGAGAGGTTGAACAGCCTTACAGGGCCTTACAGGGACCCTGTAGTACATATGAGATGGGCAAACAAAAAGACAGTTCAACCTCTCCTGGGACTCTATGGACCTTGGCAGAAAACCTCGAAGACAACGCCTGGTGCCATCAACGAAGGCGGACCTTTGGGGTGGGGACCGATTCGACGTGTGTCCTCCACTGGTGGAATGGACCGAGCAAGCGGTGTGTGTTCCAGTACACGGTGACTGAAGCTCCAGCTGATCTCGAGCTGATCTGAGCTCCAGCTGATCCTGTCACCCCCCCCGAACCGAACGACGCGAGTGGTTGGCACCGAGAGGACGCGAGTGGTTGCGGTGTCGAAACACGAGGCATTCTTCCCGAGATTTGGGACATCAAGCCACGCTCGCCTCTGGTCACTGCTATGCCGCACGGCACTGCAGGGGGGGGTTGGTTTGTTTGTTTTGTTTGTTTTGTTTGTTTGCCTGGCTGGCTGGCTGGCTGGCTGTCTGTCTGTCTGGCCCGCTGTCTGTCTGTCGTCTGTCTGTCGCCTGTCTGTTTGTATTTCTTTCCAGTGAGGGAGGATGGCAAGAGAGATTCTGGATGCCTTGGATGAAGTGCCTGGAAAATGAGGCTTGGAACCAGAGTTTCTGCCCAACTTATATTACATATACAGCCGAGTATGTCATACCGCCACACCAGGTGATACAGCACTTATTAAGGATTCATTGTGGTCAGTGATTCCAAAGAGCTCCACACTTCTTTTTCCAGTCCAACGTGACAGTCACAAATAGCTACCACCAGGGGTGGTGCCACGAAGGTAAAGCAACGCGTGCAGGACTGCAGGACGCGTCCCCGGACGAAAGGGTGATCGATTCGTGGCCTGAAAGTCCAGAAACAACGCCCGGGGTACGCCATGTTCGGGAACAAGAGTCATTCGAATCCAGTTGGACCGTGTGACAGTGTGAACCAGGATTGGGTGGTAGTGGTAGGGTGGCTAGATGAAGATCCCCGGAGTTTGTCATGGGGTGACTCGACCGATGCCATGGCACCCCGTCAAGATGAAGATCCCCAAAAGCAGAAGAGACACTGAGTGTAACCATCCAAGGCTTCAGCCTCCTGAGTGAGGGACCCCGGATGGACCGGGAGGCTTCAGCGAAGGGGAGACGGAGGTGGCGAGAAGGGTGTTGCTCACGAATGGACCGTGCAGTGACATGGGAAAACTCATGGAACATCATCCATCATGAGTAGAAGAATTTGATGGACCAGCACCTTGTTCAGAAGGTCTTCTTCTGCAGGGTTTTCGTGCCAAAACATGCGGCATGTGAGTGGTTTCGGGTTGGCGAACTGAAGGGAACTACTGTATATATGTTCGATCAATCTCCAAATCAGGTGATTGGGGGACTTTCTTACATACCCCAAAATCAGGTGATGCACCATTCACTTCCCCTTACTGGAGAGGGGGTAGCAGCCGGCTTGGTCTCAACTAACTTGAGGTGCCAGTCACAACTGAACGAACATCGAAGGAGCAAAGTTTCCTTGTCAAAGAGGTAGGACCAGGTAGGACAAGGACCCATGATGGGCCAATGTAGGTGTGAAGTGTTCGTTAAAAAAGGAAGTCCCCCATGGAAGACCGGTACAAAGACCATCCTTGCAGGTCAACCGCCCCACGGGACTCGTTCTCATCGAACAGGTCTTCCGGTCGAGGGTGAACCATCCGGTCGGTGACGCCGGTGTCGAAGAGCCGGCGACCGACTGAGGCCTGTGCAGGTCTGCGAGGCCGAGCAGCCGGGGGGGTGGCAGAACAGGGGCAGGCCACGAGCAGCCAGAAAGGCATCCTTTTTTGCGTCATCCAATGCTTCCTCTCATTTCCTCACCGCTTTCCTGAAAGATATCCAGTCACAAGACCCAGCCTTGAGAGGTGTTTCTGGTCCGCAAGATTGCCTTTGGCAGAGCCCTTGGCAGGCCAAGATGCCGAACTGCGACGCTTCGGCTCGAAGAAGCTGAGGGAACCTGACGGAGCTTCTCGAAGTCGACTCGATGGCTTCGGAGCAGGTTGGTTGAGGTAAGTTCGTGTCCTGCAACCTTCGATCGCGAGGTTTTTGAGGTCAAACGAAGAGGTTGCGAACGTGCCAAGACCCAAATCCCACCAAAGGCGGGTTTGCACCCTGAACAAACTTTTGAAGGTGTCACTTGTGCCAAAGGCGATGTGTGAGCTTTGCAAAGGCGTGTGGAGCAAACAGCCCATGATAGTCAATGACTCTTGGGAGCCGATCGATCGAAGGAAGCTTCCTGTTTCACCGCTGAAACGTTGCGAGACGCGACCGCTTCAGCAACAGATGCGAAAAGGGGTGTTGACCACTCTAATTGCTTGGGTCAATGAAGAGGCATGACACCGGGGTTTGCCAGATGTTGTTTTTGGTACTTCTTGTCATTGCTTATTATCGTCATACAGCATAACATCACAATTTGGTATGTTTTCAGGAGTCTCAAGTTGAGGTTTCAGCCAACTCAACCAACACCAGATTCAATGGCTTGTTGATCATTGTGTTGATCAAGAGTTGTCGGTTAATTTCATGTGATTGTCCCAAGTTCTTTGATGTAGGCATGATCAAGGCCGTTGTGGTGTGGTGGACCTTCACCAAGGGACGCTTTGTCTCAATGACAGTTGATGCAAGAAGTCCTGCACTGCGCCAGTTGGGATGGTGAATCTCCGAGCTGGCACAATCTCCTAGCCTGTCTGGGTTCCAAGCAAGGCAGTATTCTTCCATCAACCAAACGTCTCAACAACCTGCAACATGCGTTTCACGGGTCTTCTGGAGTTTCAACAACCACAAGAAAGTCAAGACTTGCAGTTTCGCTTGTTCCTCTGTGGCTCAAGCAAAAGACCTGTGAGAATGCCATGGTGGCACTAACACTGAGGCCGCCTTGGGCGGCTTTGGTGCTATGGGCGGCTTGGTGCCGCGGTGGCATGAGTTGAGCCAGATGAGTTGGATCGATGGTCTTTTTCGCTGAGCGATGACGGCTGAACGCCGAGGATCGATGACGGCCCCTGATTGCCATAATCCTGTGAAGCAAACCAGCAGGATGGTAGAAGAAAAGTGGTGGTACTCCTATGGAGTTCCAAAAAATGTTTCCGACTTTTTGTTGCTGGAAGGTGATCCCATCAACATTCACCGAGTTCTGAGGCTTCTGCCTTGCGCGCAGGCAGGCTGGGAGCTGGGAGCCCAAGGTGTCTTGGCGGTCCATTATATGTTGCGCGCGAGAGTAGGGAGCACGGTAGGGTAACGGACTTCAGGCTGATGACGGTGAGAGTAAGGCGGATGAACAATGACGATGTGGGACCTTGTTTGACAGACCAGTCAGCGGTGTACCATTTGAGCAGGGGAGGAATCGGAATGGAGGACATACTGCGACGGTCACGATCTGCCAAGCCGCGATGGGTTCAGATCGCGACAGCTGAGGTGTCTCATGTACAACTGTGTGTTCTGATGCGGGTGGACTCACATGCTCTGCCACTGGAAACCAACAACTGAACAGCAACTTCGAGTTTGACTATGTGCCTTGGCTGGACACACGTAGGCGTTGGGGCGCTTTGCTTAAAGGTGTTTTTTTTGATCAAAAGACCGATAGCAAGACGTCTCGTTTCCTTCCTGTCATCGTCTCTCCTGGACCCGTCCGACCCGTCCGACATCCAGAGGGAACTCAAAGGATCACGTGTTCGTCGGCCGCAGGACACCCGACCTGTGGAACCGGGTCGGAACCCCTTTGGAGGTCGGTGGTTTTGGTGACATGGAGGTCGCACAGGTCACACAGGGCTTGCCAGGTGGCACTCTCAACTCGGTGGCACAGAAAAGCGGACGGTGGCCCCATTTGCTTGGAAGGCCCTTTTTGCTATGGCAGCTGTGTCGCCGGAGCGATTTTGTGCTGCTCCGTAGATGATGTATTTGCATAGGGTGGGTTGGAAGCACCTATGTATGTATGTTCAAAAGGATTTTTTTCATGATTTCTCTCTCTCTCTCTCTCTCTTCTCTCTCCTCTCTCTCTCTATACTTCAATGGTTTTGTCGTTGATTGGTGGTCTACCAGCACCCCGTCAGTCCACATCGCCCGTCCGTCCTCCGATGGCTCTGGCTCCTCTTCGATGGCTCGCCTCGGAGAATGCTTCAGGTCTTTGCGGAGCTGGTGACTGCAGGGCAAATCCCTGCAGAGTATGCCACGTGTGACTCCTATCAAAACCTGGAGCGGCTTGGACCCAGCCCTCGCGCATCGTGTCGTTCTGGGGCGGGCCGTTGTTCCCATGTCTCACCGGCAGACGGGCACTTGGCCTAGGGGCGAAGACGAGGGCCTTACTAGGAACATACGGACGCTACTAGTTGGCAGCTGAGAGAGTTAGTTCTTCCCGGCGCGACCAGACCCAAAGCTGACTTCTGTGACTTGAGCACCCTGATGCACATGTCCACCATCACTTTAGAAGGGGGCAGATGGGCTTGCGGCAGAGCAAGCACCAACTTTCACTGTGAAAGAAGGAGTTCTTTGATTTTGAACACAGGTTTGCACGGATTACAAAGAGAGCATCGATACCATCACTTACAGCAAGCAACATAGAAGTGGACCGTTTCACCTTTTTCCG